GAACCGTTTCTCCCGGTCTCCCGGATTAGAGTCTGAAATCTCCCGGATAATCGCCGAAGTTTGCATTTCATGTAGATTCGACTTTCTGACAATGAAATTTCAAATATTAATTTGCGTTGTTTGAGCTATTTTACTGTTAAAATATATCCAACGTTTCATTACAAACTCCGATATGCCATTGTAATATGAGCGATAATGTGATTGGTGGGAAGTAAACCGATCAGGTCAAATGTTACAGTTCCAACAACATCTTTTTCACGCGTTTTTTTTTTTTCGCACAAATGACGTCATATTTGAAGACGTTGGGGGTTGACAGCCCTGCTTTCTTTAAACCGGATGCCAGCACACCGTTTAATAGCCTCCCCGCAGACGTCCTTTGAGGTTCGTTCGTCACGCATTCATTTCTTCCCCACGGACGCAGGGGAGAAATGAATGCGTGACGAACGAACCCCAAAGGACGTCTGCGGGGAGGCTAACCGTTTAATGACTTGTGTTTTTTGTGTGTCTCTCAGCTCTGCCCCCATGAATAAGGCAGTCATAGTTTTCGCGTCCTTCTTTCTTGCACCTGCTCCAGGCGTTGATATAGTGGGGTTGGTGAAAAGAAACGTACGTAGTAAAAACAGTTGGGGGGTGGGGGGGGGGGGCGCTGTGAGAGACAGGGGAAAATCCTTGTCTCTCCCTCTTCGTTTCTTCCGCTTGGTCCTACTAAGGTGTGAAAAGCTACTTCTTTTTTTCATTGGCCTCAAAACTCGCGTAAATTCAAAATATCAATCAAAAGGGCTAACTGCTACATCTTACATTTGTCTACTTTTGTCGGCTTTTCTAGTTTACGTATTTTGGAAACTAAAAACGGGATTCGGAAAAGCGGAAAAAAGTGCGGGATGCGGGATTTTCGTAAAAAAAGGAGCGGGAATGCGGGACCAGGACCCCCCACTTCCAGACCCGACCTATAGCATGACAGCACCAACGTGAGTGACTGATCTGATCTAGCCGCTTCTAATAATGATAATGATAATAATCATAATCATAATCATAATCATAACTATAACAAAATTCTCAAATCTGATTGGCTATCAACTGCCCTGATTTCAGCCTTAATAGGACAGTACGCGTCATGCCTAAGTAATTGGATAGTACGCACCATCAAGCGCGCTCTTAAATGGCTTTTTTTTTCACTGCTAGCAAAAATCTTGGAATTTCTTGTGTTTTGATTTTAAAAAGAGCTTTATATATTACAAATTTTGCTAAAGTTATGATTAATTGGTAACAGAACCTCGTGTCGTCCAATTCGGTTTGTAATCATACTCGTGATTAAACAAATCGGACTCCCGCTACGCGGTCGTCCAATTTTGTTTTGTTAATCACTCGTATGATTACAAACCGAAAATTGGACTCCACTCAGTCCTGTTACCATTACTAATAACATTTACTTTTATGGCGCCATTTCCATTGCTGTCCAATTACTCTTTGCAATGACAACAACCTCGTCCCCAGGGCTTTTCCCTTAAAAAATGGGTGGAGGTGGACAAGGCCTTTTCCCGCTCCACCCATTTTTTAAGGGAAAAGCCCTGGGGACGAGGTTGCAACAACAATAAATTGTTTTAAAGAAATAAATTAACAAAATTAATTACTAATAATGCACTGTTTAAAAATTTTAAAATTAAGCTATAGTTAAAAATTTACAATATTCAAATAAAAATATGAATAAAATCAAATAAAAATCGAATAAAAAGAAAATGTGGGAAATGTGGAAAAATGTGGCCCTATGATGTAACAGTGTCAATTTTTGGTGTTTTCAATACTTTTTTAAGTGCTTTCTAGAACTCGCAAAGCAAGTTGCAGTTTTATTTTAGTCGGATATTGCATTCTGAAAGTCCTTCCAACTATGCAAGTGAATATGTTACTTTCTATTTGACGGGGTGATCTACAAATAGCATATTCCTTTCTTGAAATGAAAGGAAAGACTTTTCACACGAAGGGACAGGGGCACCCAACGTCAATTTTCGGAAAATATCTGTTCGGACTCGGACGATTTGAGATCTAGAATTTTCGGAACATTTTTTGTAAAATTTCTTGCCTGCCTGGGTCTCCTAGGATTTTCGAACATCTAAAATATGGTACAATTGGCCATTTTTAACGGATTTTTTCCGTAAAAAGGTCACCTAGAATTTTCCGTTGCCTTTTTTCTGGCTGAAGTTTTCGAAAAGGTAAGTTTTGATCTCTATAAATTTCGCATCACTAGACTTTCAGCTAGGANAACGTCAATTTTCGGAAAATATCTGTTCGGACTCGGACGATTTGAGATCTAGAATTTTCGGAACATTTTTTGTAAAATTTCTTGCCTGCCTGGGTCTCCTAGGATTTTCGAACATCTAAAATATGGTACAACTGGCCATTTTTAACGGATTTTTTCCGTAAAAAGGTCACCTAGAATTTTCCGTTGCCTTTTTTCTGGCTGAAGTTTTCGAAAGGTAAGTTTTGATCTCTATAAATTTCGCATCACTAGACTTTCAGCTAGAAAATCCGAACGGATGAAAAATTTTCAGGGTATAAAAATATTCCTATATCTACCGTTAAAATACTAAAATACGTTTAACAATGCTATGTTTAAGTGGTTTTGAACTATATTCTCATTGGGTGCCCCTGAAGGGAGAGAATTGCAACAAGTTAAAGCTTTTGCCATGGGGACCGTGGGAGGGAAATGTTTCTGCAGCCGGCCACGCATCATTGAGTACTGTAGTTAGATAATCATTCGGCGTAGATATAGGGCCAATAACTCCAGCGCAATGATTTTGCATTCCTTCCATATCGAATTCCAAATCCTTTCGCTAGACGACCTGAAATGACCCGTCCCCTCCCCGCAAAAATCGGCCCCATTCAAGGGGAATGGGACACGCAAAGCCTTTGGGGAGTTCCGTCCGCCATTTTGTCTTTTGTTTGACATTCTATTTGTTCAAACCAACCCCTCCATAGGCCCTGCAGTATCATTAATATTGGCCCTCAGTGATTTTAGCCTCGAAGACGCTTGCTGTAACGTAAGTACTCAGAAAGTACACCTTTCTCAAAAAAAATATTATTTTCTGCCGCACTAAATTAAAAACTTTGATTCAGACGTCGTGCTTCTGCCGTGCTTATGTCGAACTGAATTCAAAAATTAAGTTCGGCACGGCAGAAGCACGACGTATGAATTGGCCTTAAGTTTGCTGACTGAATTTATGCGACTTCATGATCATACAGACTTGTTTACCCTTTAAAAAGCCGCCGAAAGACTGAAATACTCCATTGAAATTCCTACATGCTTATGTACGTACTTCAGTGGACAACTTAGCGGTAACCGAATCTCTTCAGCTAAGGGACTAACCATATGCTTTCGTTTTGTTCCACTAAAAATATTTGTCACATTGTACCATTCTGTTTGGTAAAATATGAATTGCAAATTAATTACTCGCTGTGAAAATTACCCAATAGAGTTTGGTTCTAACTTCAACAGGTCTTCTGCTTCGTGTTGCTTTGTAGACTTCGTAAATCTTCGACGAGTAATTTTTACGAAAAAAATTGTGGTCAGTTAATCACGAATATCGGAAAATAATTCTTTTGTTCCACCCATCACGACTGGCGTGTCGTTCACAGCTCACGACATTTCATTTCACTATCACAAGTCACGCCAACAGCAACAACTTAAGCTTTACTCTACAAAGGCTAAGGCTACTTAGTTTTTCCGGTCACATTTAATCGTAATAAAAATTAAATCCTCACTTTTAGCTTCGTATCTCCCATGTTTAATACTCGCGTGAGGCCTCTTATCTCTCGTCACAGGTCAGTGAGAATTTGTTGAAGTCATTTTAAGGGCGGACCATTAGAAAAGTTATGGGGGGGAGGGGAATTTTCGAGCCGCAGGAATTTTGTTTCGTTATCAAATTCCTTGTATGAATTTTTTTAGGCCATAGCATGAATATTTTTCAGTATTAATTGGCTTGCATGAATTTTTTTCATTTAATTTTCCCTTGAGCGAATATTTTTTTTGTACTTCGCCCCCCCTCCCCCCCCCCCCCACACTTTCTCTTTTCTCCCCCCCTCCTCACAATATACACCCCCTTCTCCCTTTTTTTTTTTCTTTTTATTTGTGTTTTTTTTTTTTTTTGTTTTTTTTTACACAACCACATCCGCATTCCAACCTCAGTCTGGACAACTAGGCGGGGTGGGAGGGGGG